GATAATGTAGCAATCTCTTCACATTCAAGCGATCAAAGTCTTGATAAAAGCAAATTAACTTTTTACTTTCTTTTCTATTTTTATCGTTTCGTCCGTTTTTGTTTTTAGCTGAACAACAAACAGAAAGATCATCGATTGATCCAAATGCATTTAATAATAATGGTTCAGTGGAAACACTCGGTCCAAAAAAAAACAACAATTGGTCAACGTCGACCAACAGCAGCGAAAAAGGTCTGTTTATCTGAATAATAGCTTAGTTTCGATTGTATTCTGTTTTTTGATAAAATAAATTAAATTATTGTTTTTTGTTTAGAAAGATTTTGGTGTACAAAAAGTAACAGCTAATTTCAAAGAAATCGAACGTAATATTCAAGAATAAGAAAAATTTCGTGAAGAAGCAGAAAAACAACTTGAAAAAGACATGTAAATGAATTATTTATAATAAAAAACAAATCATACTTTTATATTTTAGGGCAAATCTTAAATTTGCTTATCAATATATAAATAAAAAACGTGAACTAGAAGGAGCTAAATTAAAACAATCAAATTCAAAGAAAACTGAACAAATGGAATATCTTGGCATGGGATTTGGCAATCGAAGGTAAAACCATCGGCGGGTCACTAGTGTGGCAATTGCCACACCAAAAATATTTGAAATAATCGATAACTAGGCAGAGATCGATCAGAAAAACGACTTTTTCAGCGTTTGCCACAAGAAAAGTATTTGAAATAATCGACAACCGGACAAAAACTAATCATCAAAACAATTTTTTTAGTAATTGCCACACCAAAAATTTTGATGCTGACCCGCCGATGGGTAGAACTTATATTTGAACAAAAAGAAGAATAAATAAATCATTATCTTTTATGTATTTAGTGGTGTAAGTCATAGTGCTATGACTGATATGCAAACAATTCAACAAGAAGGTGTAATAACAACAAGAAATGTTTCACTTGCACCACGAAATCGAGATTTTTTTGATGATTATGAACCAGCTGGTTTTAGTAGTCGATCAAAGTATGTTTTTTGATTTATTGATAGATATGTAATTCAATTTATTATTTAGTTATAATATATCATCACCGAGAAATAATGATCGATATAATGATGATTCTAGAAAGTATTCATATGATTAATACTAACAATGCACATACTTTTCTAACATTGTAGTTATTAGGTTCTCGAACAAAGAACGAGAGAAAGACCTATATTATTTTATATAATACTTGCCGAACTTTATGCTTTATTTAGTTATAACTACCTTTAATAGAAAAGAGTCTTTGTTAAGAACGAGAGTGATAGAAAACCATTTATCCTGAAAATATTTACTTGCTATTCGAACTTGGCATACTGGCTAACATGTAAATTATAACAAGGAATGAACATTTTATCAATGTCTTATTAGATGAAATAGAACTTCATCCATACAAAATTTGAAGATTATTAAAAAATTGTGAAATAGAAATCTACACGAACAATTTTACTTAAACATTCTATAAATTTTTTTTCAAGTTGTCAATACTTGAACTATTTTCTTTTGCTTGTATTTATTGTCTCGTCAAGGCGATAATAATCACTTATTACTACAATTATTAAATAGTTTGCTCGATAATCTATTAATTCTAATTAAAAATAAAACAAATTGTAGAGAAAAATTAACTGGAAAAAAAACTAAAATAAATTTAGTAGATCAAATTTTCATTTTGTTTTTTTTTCCTTACAGAGACTGAATGATGATCTATTTAAACCAAAATCTCCATCAAAAAATACAGATTCATTCAGTGCTGATTGGGAAGTTATTGATCAAAAAACTCCAACAAAAGAGTTTGAATCAAGTGGAAGACATAGTTCATCATATTCAAATTATGGTAGTTCAACTGCTAATAGTGCTGGATATAGGTAGAGAAAGATTTTCAGTAAAATATTATAAATCATTTTTATTAGTTCTTCATCAAAATTAACAACTCAATCATTTACATCCTATAGTGAAGCAAATGGTGGCGATGCATAAAAACGTTTTTTCAATGCTAAAGCCATATCAAGTGATCAATTTTTTAACAAAGATTCCGACGTACCTATTAACCTATTTCACTATTATGTTAGCAAGGGTAGCTCAGACGGAAAATTCCATTTTCATCGAAGGAAATTTTTGCGAAGATGAAGTTCGTCAATTCCACTATCGCTAAATGACTAAAGGATCGAAAATGAATCTAAGTTGAATATGATCGGCCTTATATACAACAATTGTATTTTAGGTAATTAGTCCATGATACCAAGTTGGTTGGTTTTCAAGTGAGACATCTGCCATGTCAGATAACTATCAGATCAGATGATAACCAGCTAATATTGTAACCATCTGTACTAGTAACCATCTGATATGGCAGATGTCTCACTTGGAAACCAACTAACTTGGTATCATGGACTAATTACCTAAAATACCTTTGTTGTATATAAGACCGATCATATTCAACTTAGATTTGTTTCGATCCTATAGTCATTTGGCGATAATGGAGTTGGCGAAATTCATCTTCGAAAAATTTTCTTCGGCGAAATTCATTTACGGCAAAAATAGATCATTTTGGTAAGAATCTAAGGTTGGTGCATCGAGAAAACAAGGAACTTTGAAAGTTTTTTGCAGTTGTATGAACTTTCCTTAATATCATAATAGTAATTCGTTCTGATTTTGTGTTTCAACAGTCGTTCACAAAATCCTTCTATTTAGCAAGAACTTTTGCGAATATTCTTTATTGTTACAAAACAACACTAGCTAGTTCTTTTAATAATGTTGTTCATCGTACCATATGTTTGTGAAATTAGCGTACGGAAGAATAATTTTTGAGATAATATAGCATTAATTGTATCAACTCAGTTTAAAATGTGAGTTATTCTACTGTTGGCATCGAATAAAGTTATTCATCTAAATTTGGCTTTAGCTGCAGATTTTCCGACTAATTTTCCACAATGTCGGTAATCTCTCCTATTCGGTCAGTCATAATAATGTGTCGAAGAGTAACTACCTCGGTGAACAAAAACAAAGAAAAGCAGATTTGTTGCTTTTTGAGATCTAATCTGAATCTCGATCTGCATTCCTTTGATCATAAACACTCTAGTTCTTATTCTGTTTGTATCCAATAACAATTCATTCCATAGTACATACGTTTATAGGTCATCCTCGCTCATTCTAAGACAAGTCGAGATATCAAAATAAATAAAAACTTCATTATAAAATACTTGAATGTTTTCAATGTGAACGTCGTATATGCATAAAACATGTATTAAAAAATCGTACCAGTTTTCATCATAATGTTTCGCTGCATGTATTTCAGTCTAAACAACAACAAAAAAAAAATATTTTTCTGTCTTTTGCTCACTAATCTACGCTTTTTGATATTGTCTACATGCTAACGTAAACCCAACTCGTCTGCAAATGGTTGAGACTGTAACTTCCAAACTTAAATATTGTCATATATAAAAAAAAAAAATTATTATTATTTTTTTTTATAATGAAAATTTTGTGAAAAAAAATTTCTTTTTGATTTGATTTGTTTTAGAATGATCGAAACAATGTAATATTATGTTTTCAAGGAAGTACAAGTATTTCCAGTAAAGAATATTTTGGCGATCCAAATAAAAAACAAGATCGTTCAAGTTATTAAGGCCCTGATTTAGCAACAATGATAGCTGATTTTAAAAAAGGTGTATCTAGAGCAGCTGGTAAATTATCATCAGCCAGTAGTGTTATGTCAAGCATCCAGGTACAAAACATACTCATAGCCAGATAATAATCTTCAGTCATAAAAAAACTGCCAAATATAGTCTATGAACCGTTCTTACCCATTTGATTATTAGTGGAATTCTATTTTTTCTATAAAAAAAAAATGTTTGAATTTTTTTTAGGATGAAAATTGAAGGGAAAAAGAAATCTGTTTAGGATTTTTCGTACCCAAAATGAACAGTGAACATAGTAGAGTAGGATGAAAAATTTTCTTGAATAAGACTTATCGGTAATAACGATAAGAAACTAATCTTATAATTTATTGGCAACGTACTTGGATAAGTTTTGATTAATATTGAAAAACTCAGCGACAGAGGAGTAAAACAGTGATGAGTATCACTAGAAAAGCGATAGTGAATGTAAATAAAAGTGCATACTGATCTATTCGAGGAAAATAATAAAAAGTTAAGACCACGTTTCAGACAACAATATGTTAAAGAAATAACTATACGAGGATAAGAAGGTCCATATGGACTACAAATCTAACGTAGTCATTTCCCTTGAAATGATTTAGTAGTTTCTAACTCTCCTCCCCACGCGATTTCGAAAGACTTTTGTTCAAAATCAATTTTTCGAAATTAGCTATGATATATCAAGTTAACTACGAATATCACTATAACAAGTCTCAGAAACGTAATGCTGAAATGTGAAGCGGCTTTACCTATATCCAGATTTTAGGTTCCACAGTGGGTTTTTCACCGTTTTCTTACGTAGGCGAATCGGTAAGAAGTCCCGAAAAAAAACCTGTTATATGTAAGTTTCAAAGCTCTAACAGAATGTGGAGGAAATAAGATCATTAGAAATATTCAACTGGTTTTAGTGGCGAATGATGGACAGAATGAGAGTAGAATAAGCAAAAGCACTTTTCGTCGAAGGGTTCCTAGTGTACTATATGCTTTTGAATGTTAATACAATCGTATTAGTTAGAGGTAGGTTTTTTTCATGCTGTATACGAATATACCATTAAACTGATCAGTAAAAACGGACATTAGGTCGAAAATTGGGATATACGAGCAAAAATAGTCAATTTTTCTCAGTGTCCATCGATATTTTCGTATTTCTGATCAATGTCACTCAAGTCTTTTTATGCTTATTTGCGTTGAAAACATCTGTATATAGTTTGTTTTGATATTTGGCACAAAAACTACTTCTGTTCCTCTATTTAGAACGGTAGCTTCAGTGTAATTTACTATAAGGAAGAGTAAATTGGTTCCATATTAGTATAACATATGATATTTGTTTGTGAATTTCTGCAGGTGATAAATTGCTTTTGAGATACAAGTGATCCTGTTCAGTATTATATATTGTAAATAAAAGAATGCTAAAAGCATTGGTGTCTATACTTTTTTCTTCTGGAATTATCGCTGCACGACTGCATTTTTTATGCTATGCTATGGTATATCAAGAAAAATCGAATGTTGGAACTTTAATCTTAAACTTTGCAAATGAAGAGACTTCATGGTCCTTATAATATACCAAATGTTTTAGCCTAAATGAAATAATTTTTCCTGCATTATAAGGTTTTCAATGAAGCTGAGTTTTCCAAGTTCTTTGTAAAACGTGCGCATTTGTTATCTAGCCAGCAGCTCGAAAATAAAATGCTCGTTGTGACTGAAACTTTTCGTGCATTGTGATAAAAGTACCG